ATTCTGCTCATAAGAACTACCTGTACTTCTAATCAGAATATGTAAATCATGACTCTTTTAGGAGGCGCAGTCCCTGACAGTATTGTAAGATTTTTTTTCTCCTTTTTTCAAGTTCATCTGAATTGGATGTTCAGATGAATATGTTCAGATGAGTACACTCCTGTGAAAGCACAACTTGATTTATTGACAGTTACAGATAACAGGAAGCAGGAAAGAATCGTCTAAAGAGTGGTTAGATTACAATCTCTCTTTATAAACCAGGGGTGTCAAACTGTCGGCCCGCGGGCTGGTTGTATCATGCAGAGGCCGCGCCCACCCCAGCTCCAACAATGCAAAAAAAGTTGCGATACATCACGACACATCACATGATGTGATGAGTTTGACACCCGTGTTATAGACTTATGCAAATTAAAATATATTATGATTTGACAGAGCAATGGTAAGGTCCCAGTTCCTTACATGAATTTGAGATACCATATCAATCTAATCAGATAACCCAAGCGGAGACTTCTTGATCAAGCAGCACTTTATTTGATCAAATTAAGCAGCTGGGTGGCCAGCAATCTGGAACGCTGGCAAAGTTATGTCCAGAAGTGCCACGCATTAGAAAGTTAGTAGCATTGCTTTATAAACTTTGTTAGCCAATGAAAATCAGACAACAGAGCCATTATATCATAAGGAAGACACCAATCATTCCTGTACACCCCCTTATTTCCTCCTTCAGTATATCGCATCCATGTACATGATTCTCATGCTGGCATGAGATTTCCCTGGTGCAAAAGCTGATTACAAAAAGCAACAGTGAGACTAAACAATTTCCCTTTGTTCCAGAACCCTTCACAACCAAGCATTTCATAGGACAGAGATTATCATCTGCATCATGAAATCAGTGAGGCCATTGACGTAATGGGGCAGGACTACAAAAATCAATGGAGGCTTGTACGGACAAAGAGGCAGTTATTCAATGAACATGCTTGCTCTCTAGGGAGGTTTTTTTTAACTTTTGCTTTCCCAGAGCTCTGCTCATCACCCAGTATCTTTTCTTAGTTTATCAGAATTTCTTGGCTTTCTAAATGTTTGATGGCTAAATTAACAGTTTTCTTTTTCCGAGAAAATGTACTGGAGTTCTAGACTTTTAAGTTGGCCTCAAGAATTTTCTTTCAAATGCAGGGCATTGAGATACTGTATTGTTTGTGTCTGCAGAAAGTTCAACTGAAAAGAGCTTACTGGAACTGAAGGGGGAGATTTAAACCATAATGTGGGGCATTTGCTTTTGACTCAACATATTGTCTGAACACAATATGTAAATCTTGTTTTATGGATTAGCATATTGTTGGCCAAGAAACAGAAATGAACAACATGCCCTAGAATCGGATACAACTGTACAGAGAAATCTTTACCTTTACCTTTAAAAAAACTACCCAATATGGGTTTATTCAGTAAACAAATTGTGCTTTAGTGCACTCAATGTAGTTAAATGTGTACTAGGTCACTTATGTGAGACGATATTTAGGCTGAGTTGTAACATTCTTACTCAGCCTCTCGATATGACAATTCCTAGCATAATTTGTAGGTAAACATTCTAAATAACTCATTCTTACATATTTGGAAGACACCAGATGGAAAAGCCTGCCCTGATCAGTTATTATACCTTCCAGACAATGTTAGGACTGTGGAGAGAAGAACAGAAACCTGTATTCCAGCCACTTCTCCATCTTCAATTGCTATTTTGTATGGCATATATTGCCTGGTTCTGTTTAAGATCAGTTGCTCGTTTTTAAGTACATAATCCCTACACCAATGTTGACTGCCCACAGAAGGATTTTCCTCCAACATCTGGCATTATCCCAAGCAGATGTAAAATCTTCATCATTCTACCCATACAAATTATTCCAAAAGAATCGGCAAGCATCATCAAGCAGAACAGTATCACTGGTTTACTTGCTGTACTCAAATAATTAAGCAAACTGAATATCTCCCCCACTCACGCCATTTTATTTCTATCCATAAAAGTTTTCATCAGCCACCACCACCTCCTCCTCCTCCTCCTCCTCCTCCTCCTCCTCCTCCTCCTCCTCCTCCTCAATGCCAGATAACTTTCTACAGACCAATAACAAATGGCTATACAATAAGTCTTCCTCTAGGATGCTTCCAAATTTCTCTCCTCAGAGCTCTGTTGTGCCTTCATCCTCTTCCATAAGGAGGCAGCTCAAACCAAGGATCGTTCATGCACAGAATCGCAATAAACTCTCTCCTCGTTTAGTAACCATTTCAGAGAACATGTCCCTTCATTATCATTATCTTTCACAGGGAAAGTATTATACTTGAGGGGATTCTGTCTGCAACAAGAAACTTGCAGGGTGCTATTCCTGCTAGTTCTTGCTTATGCTTTGCCAGGTTTGGTATGTAGGAATTGCACAAAAAGCTTTTGGTAGACTTCCTGGAAGTCTACAAATGTGCTGCTGACTCTTCCCTGATCTTGGCTCACATGTTTATGATAACCTGGTCCAGGTTCTTCTTTGAGCTTTGCCAACTCTCCCTTCACCCCCACCTTTGGTCTATCTTCCTTTTGGTTTTCCCTTTCAGCATCCAGATTTTCTTTAGGATTTTACAATGAAGCTCACATCTCTGCTGCAGAAAAAAAATTGTCATCTCCCTTCCCTCTGCTATCTCTGTTGTTTTCTCCTCATCTCTTTCCAGCTTTCCCCAACTTGCCCTTTGGCGTGGCTATTACCAATGATAATAGATCTCAGTCAACAGTTTCCTCAACCATGCTATGAGTATATTATGCAATAATTTGGGGCCCATTCCACTCTAGTTCCTTCTTTGGACAAACCTTTGAACAAAGCACTGGGTGCTTTTTTCCACTTTGAGTAAACTCTAAGAATGCAAACTCATGGGAATTGGATTCAATTCACATAACGAGTCAATGATGGAAATGTTTGTTTTCTCGTAACTGACATTAAAATGCCAGTCACATGATTGTAAGTATCAAGTCCAGCCTTCTCAGCTCATATCAACCAACCTATCCGAAACCTATAGCTAGTAATAATGAACTGTTCTGGCTCTCAGCACTTGCAGACTGATGGTTTCAGTGAACAGCTTTCAGAATTAAGATTCACCAAAATCTTTTGAAATTCTGCAATATCAGGAGCTGAAACAGCTAAAAGAGGTAAGAGATTCATTTATCAAAGGATTTTTTTTTAGCTTTCCTTTAGAGTACTGCATACTGAAAAGGATATCAGTCACTGTCTTTCTATAATGCCAGAATTGTCCATATTTACTGAAGTATCTTTTTAAGAGATATTTGCAGTCTCCAATCCCAGTGTAATTTTTGGATTCACAAATACCAGGAATAAAATTGTAAGGAAAGTGGAAGGTGAATGTAACATGACTGATATTTTCAGGACTTTCAAGTTTTTCATGGTTTAAATTTTGGAAATATATTTTCACTCTCCAAATCTATCCTTACATCGTAAGAATTTCCTGATGGTTTCCTATCCCAAGTCCTAAAAAGATCCATTCCTATTTTACTCAAAGTCAAATAAATGTTGCCACCTCTCTGGGTCTAAAAGGGAGAAATGTTAAACCAATGCTTTTCAAACTTGGCAGCTTTAAGATGTGTGTACTTTAACCTCCAGGATTTCCTGGGCAGCAAATTAGCAGAGAAATTCTGGAAGTCCACTCATTTTAAAGTTGCAAAATTTGAAAAACACTGTTAAACTGTATTAATCTGAGATATTTTCAGGAGAGACTTCTGTTGTACAGTCCCGCAGCTTCATTCAGAGAATGGGGACTCAAACCGCAATATTTTCCCCTTTGTTGTTGTTAATTGCAAAGTCATGTCCGACCCATCGCAATCCCATGGACAACGTTCCTCCAGGTCTTCCTGTCCTCTACCATCTTCTGGAGTCCATTTAAGTTCACACCTACTGCTTCAGTGACTCCATCCAGCCATCTCATTCTCTGTCGTCCCATTCTTCTATTGCCCTCAATCTTTCCCAGCATTAGGCCCTTCTCCAGTGAGTCCTTCCTTCTCATTAGGTGGCCAAAGTATTTGAGTTTCAATTTCAGGATCTGGCCTTCTAAAGAGCAGTCGGGGTTGATCTCTTCTAGGACTGACCGGTTTGAACGCCTTGCAGTCCAAGGGACTCGCAGGAGTCTTCTCCAGCACCATAGTTCAAAGGCCTCAATTCTTTGGCGCTCAGCCTTTCTTATGGTCCAACTTTCACAGCCATACATTGCAACTGGGAAAACCATGGCCTGGACTATTTTCCCCTTAAAACCATCCTATTTTCCTCCCTCTTCATCCAACATTTTTCTTACCTCACAAAATCTATTAAGGAGGAAAGCTGTGCTGTTTGCCTAGTGGGCACGTTTGGAATGCAGATAATATGGTTTGCTACTCTCCCCAATGGTGCATTTTGTCCCCATTTATTTCATTTGTATCTGTATGCAAATGATGTACAATTCCCACAGTGCTTTGCTCTCTGATGTGATTCAACAGATGTTCCTGAATAATGAACACTCTTCCAACCAATTAGCCTGTTAAAAGGCTTTATTTTTTAAAAAAAATATATTACATTTTTTTACAAATTACTACTTTACAAATTTCAAGTACTCCTCAACTTGTGACCGGTCACTTAATGACCATTGAAAGTTCTAAGAGACATATCTGGGAGTACTTCCAACCTGGATTCAAAATTTCAACAGTCACCACCACCTCCATGGACATGTGACTACACTTCAAGCACTAGGCAACCAAGCCACATTTAAAGCCATTTGAAGTGTCTCCCATGGTCACATGACCACGTTTTATAATTTTGCCAAAAACCAGCATTGACTTCTGGTTTTCAGCAAAACTGTTCCATAGTGAGACATGGGTTCGCTTAATGACTGTGGTGTTTGCCACAAAAAGTCATAAAATTGGTTCAGTCACATGACCAAATCTCTTTACAACTGTCACGAGTTACAACAGTGATGGGCAGGTTCCATTTCAGTCATATATCAATGAGCATCTGTAGTAAAAACAAGAAGGAAAGATAATACAGGATTAGCCTTGGAGTAAGATATAACAGTGAAGAATGGTGTAGTGTGCCCTCAACCAACTGAAACTCTGCATGGAGTGGCTTTGGGCCATTTATTCTCTTACAACGCCACCAACTTCACCTCTTGGGAAAAATAGGAGAAGAGAGCACTGCTGTATGTGTGCTGCCTTGAGCTTTTGTACACACAGTGGGACATAAATCAAATGCACACCAATATACAGTGTGGAGCCACTCTCTGAATATAGTTTTGATACTGGGTGATTAAAGGCAGTACCTGAGCAAAATTGCCATTCGCATCCTGTATGGTTTCATCCTCACAAATGTAAAGGATCCTGTGGGTCAGGAGCCAATGATTTAGAATATTTAGGAGCTAAAGAGAAGGTGCATAATACCCCTTGTTCCTATTTCCCCCCACAAAAACTAAACTCTCCCTCTGTTCTCCAAACTCTATCCCTTTTAAAAACCTTACCTTGGCTCCAGGTTGAAGAGTAGAGGAACCATGTGAGCAAGGAGAGAAAATCTGCAACTTTTTCCTCAGTAAGGGAGGGGGAAAAAATCCCTCCAAAACTTAAAGTCAGCTAGAAACTGCTGGGGAATGGCTGGCTGGGGAATTCTGGGAGTTGAAATCCACACATCAAGTTGTCATTGTTGAGAAACATTGGTCTATCATTTAAGTCCTAGCTGGGCTGCATTAGTCAAAACAAATAGCTAAAGCTTGTGAAGACCCAGCATCAGTGGTAGGGTTCAAATATGTGAACAACCAGTTCTCTGTGTGGATGCCACTTTGGGAAGTCCATTCTGGGCCTGGGCAACAAAAACTTAGCTACCGGTTCTGCCAAACTGGTGCAAACCGGCTGAATTCCACTACTGCCCAACATCCTCCATTTTCTGGCACAACTTTTATAGATGACTTTTTTAAAAAAAAAAGTTCAGGGGAACAAGCTGGAGAAATATTTTCTCTCCTTGCCCGCTTGGTTCCTCTGCTCTTCAGCCTGGAGTCAAGGCAAGGTTTCTAAAAGGGATAGAAATTGGAGAGCAGAGGGAGTTTATTTTTTAGCAGCTAAATGGGGCAGGGAGAGAAGATCAACAAGTCTGTCCCTCCCAGCTTTTTTGTCTATTTGTTTGTTGTTTTTAACTGAAAAAATGTGGCTATTGGAGGAAGGAGGGAAAGGCGTTAAGGAAAAGAAAGGTTTTGGGAAGCTTGCTGCCTTTTGTGCAAGGGCCCTCTTCCCAAAGCCTAGAGAGGCAGGAGAGCTTTGGCTCATGGACAGCTGATGGGCTGAGAGCTGATTAGCCAAGAAGCTCCAAAAGGCTAGAGAACTGGCTCCTTTTTTTGCCAGAGAAAGGCAGGGCACCTTGACAGGAGGAAGGGCAGAGGCAGAATTAGGAAAGGTGGGTGCATTCAGTGTTTTCCTTCCCTATTGTTTCACAGGCCAGCATGCAAGACCCTCAAGGGATGGGGAGCATGGCTATTTCAGGGTACAGGAAGAGGCCTTGGGAGGCCTGAGACAGGTGGGCTAGTGCCTGCATTATCTACAGCCTGGATTTCCCCCACTCCTGCTTAATGACCCATGCATTTGTTTAATGAATGCACTGGAAAGAGCAGGAATGGCTGATCATTACTTGAGGCAGTTCATTTAACGTTGTCCTGACCTTCAAACCTAATGGGCAGGTTCCATTAGGGTCATAACTTGAGGACTATGTGTATGGTTGCAATGTCTTACAGTCACATTTTTGCCATTTGCATCTTCCTGCCAGCTTCCCCCTTGATTGTCCTTGACAGAAGGAGGCAGTGGAGGTTATAAATGGTTAACATATGACTGTGGGATGCTGCAGTGTCACAATTGTGACCTGGTTGCCAAGCATTCAAATCATGATCACATGACCATAGGGATGCTGTGATGGCTCCAACCATGAGAACCTACCATAAGTATCTACCATTCAGTGGCATTGTAACTTCAAATGGTCACTGAACAAGCGGACATTAAGCAATGACTACCTGCATTAAAAATGCTGGGAAAGTAGAGGTAGATTAGTTATTAGAAAGAGTATCCTAATGGTAATTGTTGCCAACCAGTGGGAAAGGTTGTCTCATAAAATGCCATGTTCCCTTTCATCAGACTATTTAGGAAAAGCTGAGATGATACAACAAAATATATTTCCATTCATTAGGTTATTGTCAATGCAATTGGCTACTGACATTTTTAGATTCCTGAAGCTATTTCATTAATCCACAGGATTTTTCTGGCTTGCAGTTCATTATCTTGCAGGTTTTAGCAATGTGGCTCTACCTGGTTGCCCTGGTAGGGCTTTACATCCTCTGCCAATTGTACTGGGAGAGACAGATGGTGGAGAACCTGACAGAGAAATATGTCTTCATCACTGGCTGTGATTCTGGCTTTGGGAACCAGCTGGCCAGGCAGCTGGATGCTCGGGGTCTGAGGGTGTTGGCTGCTTGTCTAACTCCAGAAGGGGCAGAACAGCTGGAAAAAGTCACATCGGCTTGTTTGAAAACCATTCTGCTGGATGTCACCAACACTGAGAGTGTTGCAGCAGCAACTGAGTGGGTGGAGGAGCAAGTAGAAGACAAAGGTACAGTCTAATTACCGTTCTTTCTGCATGAGCCCAATTGGACCTATCTATTTTTATTTCTTTACTCCACCTTTAAGATTTTTAGAAATATTTCAAGATGGTGAATGTATATAATAGTGTTTCTTCCACAATAACAACTCTGTATGGTGAGTTGACCTGAGAGAGAGTAACTGGCTGAAAGCAGTGGTGGGATTCAAATACAACCACTTCTCTGTGTGGATGCTGCTTCCGGAAGTCCATTCTGGGCCTGGCTGAATCCCACCACTGGCCGAAAGTCACCCAGGCAGCTTTCATGCCTAAGGTGGGATTCATAATTCATAATCTCATAAATCATTGATTTTATCACAAATCTCTCTTATTTCTTCAGACAGCATTTAAATCTCATTCAAATAATTATCATGTCTAAAAAAAGAACACACCTGTTATTACACAAAACATCGTCTTACTAACTTAACACACTCAATTAGTTGTTAAAGCAATTCGAATTTCTAAAAACCTCTTTCATATTCTTATTCTCATTCCATTACAAAATAATTTTCATACAAATAAACATATTATTCCAAAAAGTACATTCTTACTCTGTTTAACATATGCATTCTAATAATCACAAATTTTCAACTCTAAATCTTAGAAGGACTGAGTCTTTAAAAGGTTAGATTAATGACTCAAACTATCTTGTTACTATCCTTTGCCAGGCTGCTTCAACTGAAAATGACTCTATGTAAACTTTGGTTACTTCTCTTAAACTGTATCAAAACTAACATTAACTCAGAGAGAAAAAATATTTGTATCATCAGATTGTTTGTCACCATAGGCCTCAAATATTGCAACTCCTCCTTTCCAAATCTAGCCCCTTTACTGTTAAAAAAGCTCTTGTTGACTATTTAATTATATGATGATACAACAGTAAGATACTGTAGAATAGATACTATAGATACTATAGAAAACCTGTTCATCCTCATATCATGGAAGCCATATGAATATGTTATTAGTAACAACTTGTCATAGTTGCAGGGAAACTTGTGCTATTTGTGTTCTAGCTGTGATTTGATAGGTTATACTGCTCCTGGTTCTTCAGTAAATTGGGACTAGCTGGACTCCATTGTTCAAGAGAGGATACTTGAGAATGATTAAATCACTGTTTCTTTTCATCATGCTCTTCCATAGAGAAACTAGTATTTATTACTGAATGCCAGTTTGTCAGGTAGAAAGTCCTTGAGAACATATAAGAATCCATGAAATTCCAAAAGAGTCCAAGAATTATGTAACTTAGTGGATCCACCACCATTGCAGAATGAAAAAGCCAGTTCCAACCTAAATCTTCCCAGGAAGTCACCTGACCGTAACAATGGGGTTATTGAGAAATCTCCATTCAGCTCCAAATTAGCAAACTCCTGCCCAGTCAAGAATACTAGTCAGACCAAGCATAGAAAATGTGATGAGTGTGCCTGTATAGGCCTATGATGCTCAAGAGGCTTCTTTCTCCACTTTAATTAGATAAAATAAGTAAATGGGAAGTTAGAACTACCTTCTAGCACAGTGGTTCTCAACCTTTTTAATGCCACGACCCCCAACCGGTCGTAAGTCGAGGACTACCCAACCGGCCGTAAGTCGAGGACTACCAACCGGTTGTAAGTCAAGGACTTTCCCTGCCCGGGAGCGCCACGCATGCGTGGTGCCGCCCCCTACGCCGGCTGAGGCATAGCTGGCAAGCGGCAGAGACGGCGCAGGGTGACCACCGGCTGGGCCACCAGCTGGCCCAGCCCAAGGGAGGTAAGGCACCCACCAGGCCCCACGTGCACCAGCAACCCTCCCTGCACCCACCGGCCTCCCACCTCCCACCCCTGGCCCTCTTTTACTTACATTTTTAGTAGTTGCTCAGCAGGGAGGGGTGGAAGCTTCCAGACAGCTCGCCTTCACTGCAGACAACTTGCAGCACCGTTTGCAGAATGGGACTTTTGGCGGGCTCAGCAGGGCACAGACAGCCTGGATAATTCCTATTGGCTTTCAAAAGCCAATAGAATAAAAGGGAGTAGCACAGCTAAGGAAAAGGGAAAAAATGGTGGACTGTGTTGTTTGGCGACCCCCGTGAAATGGTCGTTCGACCCCAAATGGGGTCGCGACCCACAGGTTGAGAACCGCTGTTCTAGCATCATCTTTATTTACATAAATTCCTCTGTGCCCTATATAAACTTTTAATCAAAATGATAAACCACTGCAAAGAAGTGATTTGATGCCATTCACCTTAAAAAGATGCCTACATCTGACACCTCTCTGAAATAGTGTCAGATTATAAGAGAAGTAATGAGTTTGTTTCCGCAGGACTCTGGGGCTTGGTGAACAATGCAGGAGTTGCTTTCCCATTGGCTCCCAACCAGTGGCTGACCAAGGATGACTTTGCAAAGGTGCTAAATGTCAACTTGCTGGGAGTGGTTGATGTGACACTCCATTTGCTGCCCCTCATCAGGAGAGCCAGAGGGAGAGTGGTCAACGTGAGCAGTTTGGCTGGAAGAATTGCCTTTAGTGGAGGCGGCTACAGCCCTTCAAAATTTGCACTGGAAGCCTTCTCTGACAGCCTCCGGCAAGTCATTCCCTTGAATATTTATTTCATTCTGTCTCTCCTATGCCTGTTATCACCATGGGAAAGAAGAGATGAGACTAGAACTCATCTAACCTCTCATCTCACAACAAACAAGCTGTGTTTGTTGAATACATATCATCACCATCTGCTAGTCATCTCATGCTTGGGCATTGTCTCTTTAGGGGCTTGGACAGAAGAAGCAAATAGGAAGCATTCATGCACAGAAGCATTCATGCACAGCCTCCCAGTAAGTAAATTAAATTCAAGAACATAGAAATCTTGAACATTTTCTACCCAGATTTAAGTCCAAGTGCCTTTCAAATTGAAGCATTGATAACCTTTGATTTGGCTTCTCTTTCAGATTCCCACACCATAGCATTTTGAATTGTTGTTTGTTTGTTTTTTTTTAAAGTACACTTCATTTAATGGAAATCCATGTAATTGCATTATTAAATACTTACCCATTAGCAATAAAATAAAAAAAGGATGTTGAAAAGAAAATTGTCATTCCAGTCATTTGCTTTTAATTTTCCCAATTCCACTTTTGGTGGTGATGATAATCGGCATGGATTCCTTTTTTAAATTACACCCAATTTTGATTAATGCAGACTGAGTCTGTTGAATTTTTATATCTCCTTATAAGGGATGGGGATATCTTGGTTTGCAAAACAAACAGGATACAAAAGTAAAATGTACACATATATATGTCTGAATGCTTTCTATTATCGTATCCTATACTATTTCTATTATTATTGTTACTATACAGTTTTCTCTATACTATATTCTATTATTACTTCTATACTGTTTTTATTACCTCTGTACTATTACTAACATAGAGCAGTATTCTCTTCTTACACTGTTCAGTCTTTAACTCCCCTCCACCCTCCAAATTTTTTTCTTTTCTTTTTCTTCTTTATTAATACACAGAATGTTAAGCACTAGCACCTTCCACAATTTGGTTTATTTTGCTTTGTTGTGTCTCTTCTTTTTTCCTGTGGACCATCCAGTCTCTATGAAGAAAAAACAGCATCTGTTTGGCTGCTTTATATTTGTTGCTAGCTGCCCAACTTCCAAAGTGCACATCTCTCTCCCCCATCTGTTTCACAATTGCAGTTTTTATAGGCAGTTCTACTTTGCTGCTAGGGAGAAGAGTCAAATAGGAAGAGGGAAAAGGCAGCACAGATGCCTGCAATTTTTTCAGCATCCTCCCCTTCCACCTTTTGTATCTGATGATGATGATTGTATTTCTGACCCCACATACTCAAATCTGACTGATCTCAAAAAATAAGTAGCTTTCAGTTTTATGAAAATGTTATTAGACTTTAAGGTGCCACAAGATCGAGTTTTGCTTTTAGACTATATACAAACTGAATGTGTTTGTAAAATCACAAGAATTGAGCTCAGCTTGAAGACTAGAAGAAGACATCATATGAAGGATAGCCCAGCAGGTGGCATCAAAAAGCCAGCTTTGACTGATCTCCAAAAACTAAGTAGGGTCAAACCTATTTCATTCTTGGATAGTGTTGTTGTTGTTGTTAGTTGCGAAGTTGTGTCCGACCCACTGTGACCCCATGGACAACGTTCCTCCAGTCCTTCCTGTCCTCTACCATCTTCTGGAGTCCATTTAAGCTCACGCCTACTGCTTCAATGACTCCATCCAGCACCTCATTCTCTGATGTCCCCTTCTTCTATTGCCCTCAATCTTTCCCAGCATTGGGCTCTTCTCCAGTGAGCCCTTCCTTGTCATTAGGTGGCTAAAGTCTTTGAGTTTCAACTTCAGGATCTGGCCTTCTAAAGAGCAGTCAGGGTGGGCAACTAGCAAATCCACAGTGTAGACTGATAGCCAAAATAATTCTGGAAGAAGGCAGTGGCAAACCATTGTGGCCAGGAAAACTACACAGTTGGTGTGTTAATGACACCCAAGTCACCATGGTAGTCACAATACAATCAAGGGAATATTTTATGAAGGGTATAAAATCTCTTTCATAATGAGGTTATTATTTAAATGGGTTTGCTGCCATCCTCCAAAACTGCAATTGTCCTAATTAAATTTCTCTTCTAGATTTTTGAGTTTGCCAATAGCAAATCACTTCGAGTGATAGAAAATTTTGAAGGACAATGTCTTTTATCTCCTTCATTGTTTGAGTTACTTTCTTTCATTCAGCTCTTAGACTATTAAAATCTTACTATTTTCATGAATTCTAGTTGAATTCTGGGGTCATACTATCTCACACACAAAAAAAGTCTTCAACTAAAAAAAACAAGCAGAAGAAAAGCATGTTTGGGGATCTAGTGAGATGGAGCAAGAAATGATTCTAGTTGGAGGCAGGAGGAAAATTCCTACTTTTTAAAGAAAATTCCTACTTCTTTTCTTGTAGACGTGAAATGTATCCTTTTGGGGTCAAAGTCAGCATCATCGAGCCAGGTGCATTTTTAACAGGACTAGATAAATGTGCAGCAGAGTTCTTCAGCACCGTCTGGAGAAATGTACCACCTGATATCAAAGAACTCTACGGCCAGGAATTCTGGAGAAACTGTAAGTTAAAACGTGTAAAATTCTGTAAAAGGGGAAGGTAACATTGTCAGCAAAAGATAATCTTGCAGGACCTTATTTCTCAGGGCATAAGCTTTTGTGAACTACAATTCATTTCATCAGATGCAGGAACTATCCTCTCAAGAACAATACATGAATCTAAGTGTAAATATATTTCCATTTATATTGAAAAGAGGGTGATGAGCTCTGAGGATGGAAAAAGGATATATGGAGTTAAGAGACTAGTACCCAAAGGGGGGGGGGGAAACTGGATGGCAAGAGAAAAAGAGGGGTGATCACTTTTGTCTGTGGTGCGTTAGATTCAGCCCTGCCAAAACCACTGCTGAGAAACAAAGTCCCACTGAGTTCTAAGGGGGCAGGATTTTGCTCATAAGAAATGTGTGCAGTTGGTTAAACTGCATGCAGCTCTGTTAAAGAAAACCACACCCATCTTGGGGTCTTTATGATGTAGCATCCCAGTGAAGTGAGAGAAATGAAGAATTTTTTTTTTTTTTCCAAAACAAAGAGCATTCCACTACCACTACTCCAGTCATCAAGTCTTGCACTGGCCCTGAAAGAGTTGGACTACAGGCTCTCCAAAGTACCTTTCCAACCTATTCATTCTATGGTTCACTAAGTAAACATGTCAGAATATTTCCAGTTCTTGAGGACAATCCCCAGATAAAGTATGCTGTTTTCTTATTGATTCTCCCCCCAAAAGGTGGTGGCTCTTAACCATATCCTGTATGTTCTGTTAAATTAATGGGTAACTTAAGCATTCCAGATGGCGCTGGGGTAAGTTATTCATTACTACTCAAGGCAAAGCTTTTTCTGCACCACTTTTAACATTCCTGATTTTTTTTTTATCAGTGATACCTGATACTCTGAGACATTGACTATAGCTTTGCAACTTGATAAAACAGAATTCAGATGGAAGCATTTTTGTTCTGTACAATTAGCCTAACTGCGCTGGATTATTTCTTCAGGCACTTTCCATCTTACAAGTATAGTAGCACTAGCTCTGGCTCATAGTTGTTAGCTTGGTAACCAATGAAATAAAGTGGGGAAGAGAAAGGTATCATCATGTCAGGCAGGAATCAATAAATGGAAAATTATATATTACCTAATGCCTAGTCTATCATTTTCAAAATAAAATGTGTGTGTGTGTGTGTGTGTAGGTGTGTGTCTATGCATATAATACTTGCTTTAAAATTGATTGACTGATTATGTGCCATTAAGTCAATGTTGGCCCTTAGTAATCACATAGATTTTTCCCATGACAATCTGTCTCCAACTTGGTCTTTCAAGTCTCTGGACAGTGCAGCCATTGCTGCTGTAATGAGTCAATCCATCTTGCTGGAGGTCATTCTCTTTCCTTCTCTTCCTCTAAAATACTTCTTTTAATATGAAAATTCTTATTGTGGTTAAATGGATTTTATCAATCATTGCCCTGCTCCAGCTGTTGCAACCACACTAAAGTTTAGACTTTATTGTTCTAACAGACTCTGGTTTGCATTATCCTAACTAGGACACAGCTTTAAGCAATATGAAAATCTGCAAAAATGAATTAGGCTACAAATGATACTGAGACATGTTAAAAAATAACAAGTAGATAGCAAACTTGTTTCTCTGCAGTTGGAAGACCATAGCATACAATAAAGAAATTCAACAAAAGCAAAGTAATAAATGTTCATCTAGTGACTAAATTAGGTTTATATGCCTGTGCATGGCTATTCAGATTTTTTAAATATCCCCAAAATTATCATGCTAAGATGATATCTGATCAGAGACAAAAAAAAAAAATGGGAAGTACGAGTAGGAAATAGCATGCATGGATCTAATGTGCATATTAGATTGAAAGTTCCAGATGAGGAATGTCTATGGCAGGGGTCTTCCAACTTGGCCCTTTTATGATTTGTGGACTTCAACTCCCAGAATTCCTCAGCCAGGCATGCTGGCTGAGGAATTCTGGGAGTTGAAGTCCACAAGTCATAAAAGGACCAAGTTGGAAGACCCCTGGTCTATGGAGATTTTCAGTCATCCAGATGTTGGTTGTCCCGAAGGTGCTTTTTCAAGAGGCAACTGGACTTTGTTTTTCTTTGAAGATATTTCTCTTTTCTCATAGAAGAAGAACTGAAGCGCTGAAGTAGCTTCTTGGATAATAAGTGAAACACTTATTTAAAAAACACACCTTTTAAAAAAACCACAAGAAAGTCTAGTTGCCTCTTGAAAAAGCGTCTTTGGGACTTCCAGATGAGGAAGGAAAATAGAATGTATGTTTCCTGTTTTACTTTCTTCTCTGAAAATTGTGACATTAAATACAATTTAAATCTTTAGATCTTACTAACTAGTTGTACCCTGTTTAGAAATGGTGAAAAAGATCAGTTATTCCGAGATTTACTCAGGACCCAATTTCCGTAGATATAGATTACAGGAGACTTGTACTATTTTTATGGTATAAAATGCTTCCAGTAATAACATCCTAACAGAGGATTCATCATAGCACCTGAGGATTTCCTACAGAGAGCAAAACCAGCCTTCTGTGTCTTTTTTTTTTTTTTTTAAAAGACCAGATCCAGCCAGATAGCCCTCAGCTTTATTTAGGCCCCATATTACTCTCTGGTGAGAAAAGAGTTCAGTTCCATGAATTGTTTTTGCTTTCTTGAGTGGCCTTTGTGCCTCCCAAGACATCAGAAATTTACTATTAGCTGCTCTGTTGTCAAATATGCAGAGGCTCCACCTCAAAACATCAAATTAGTAATTTTATCACCTTAAAAAAATAAACACTGGAAAGTTTCAGGCAAGAATGTTGAAACCATCCAAAATTTTGGAATTCTGATATGAGATCATGATGGCTGAAATCTCATAAGATTTGCTGGTATCAGGAGATGTTAAACACTTTAAAAAGGAATAATTATTTATATGATGGATGCCAATGTCTAGGGCAAGATCATGCAGTGGCACATGAAGATATTGTCAATCACTTGCACAACGTAATTTAGAAAGGAATATTAAAACATTTTCTAACTATTTACTTATTCATTGATTCATTCAATCATCATATTTAAGAACCACCCATCTTTTTTATAGGGGGACTCTGGGCAGTGTACAATAAAATATTAAAAGCAGTATGCAGAATAATATATAATACATTTTAATCTCTGGGTGGTAGCCATAGCTGTGGTATAGGAGAAAATATAGGATCATGTTGTTGTGGCATTAAAGACACAGTACTATTTTACAGTCAAGAGATGGATTTCAACTCAGATTGCTGATTACTGTTTCTCATGCTGACAGACAGATGGTTTGCCCAATCCAGATGGCTGACTTGTTCTTATTTTTTTCTTCTATCCACAGTTAACCAAACATTTGTTGGCAAAAGATGGAAGAAGAAAAATCTCCACATAGTTACAGACTGCATGGAACATGCCTTAATCTCTGCCTACCCTCATAGCCGTTATTCTGCAGGCCGAGATATCAAATTCTTCTTTATCCCCCTCTCTTACTTGCCAACCCTACTGACGGATTATATTCTGACATATGGCCACCCCAGACCAGCCAAAAGTCTGTATTGATCACAGTCTCATAGTTTGTACAAGAATTAGGCTACATCCACTTCTCATTTAGCAACTATCTCAATTAATGACCATTTGCAAAACTACGGTAATAAAAAATGGATTTTCCAATCAATTGGCACATTTATGACCAAATTTCATCCACCCAACAATGCATACCAACCAGCGTGTAATATTTGCGGTGTCTCTGTCAGCAATCATTTCACTTCACAGACTGGTTATTGGAACATAACTTGATTGATAAACAAGAGGTGAGACACATGGCTTATAGCAAGATGTTTAAAAAATGTGATCTGCTGGATAGAATCAAATATGTTGGAGAAGAGCAAGCAGAGCTGAGGGGTGGAGTTAAACATGTCATAAGGCTAGAGTAACTACATTCCCACAAACAGCCCAAGTTCTCTTTCATTGAACCTTATTTGTTGCCAATTTAGTACTGAACTTTAGTTGACTAGATTCTTGTGTATAAGTTTGAGCAATAAATGTCCTGAAATGCAACTTAATGCATGGTCCTGATCCTTCTCACCTGACACCCCAAGTTCTAAGGCATGAAGGGCTCAACAGAGGAGATCTGCATAGCTCCTTGCAAGGCAAGGATATTCCCACCATTAATTGTAACTGGTGGGGCTCTATTTTAGAACCACAGCTACAAGCAATCTTTCATGGGCAACAACTACTGCATTTACTGGAATCTTTGTTTGTTGTGCCCTGCTTTTGAACCTGGACCAGCTGATGACCTATAGTGGCTCTACAAAAGTCTGGATGGTGCTCAGATGACCTTTCTGCCTACTGCTTGAAATTTTGCTTATCCGGAGTTGGCTTGTTAAATTTCCAAGCAATTTTGGACTGTTTCAGATTGTGTGTGCATGTCTGCATATTGTAGACACCTTACTGTAATTACTCAAACTAAGTAAAGACTTGACCTGGACTCCTTGTGCATGTGTGTTATGTGTATCAGGCTTTGAATGGGACAGTTTATTCCCAACCCATTAACTTCTAGTATCCATCTCTATCTGAGCCTATGTCCTACAGACTTGCCTTCTGACTGGTTTTATTTAGGCTTCATTATTAATCTATTGTCAGAAGCTGCTGCTAGTTGGACTATTGCAACAGAGCTCTTTGCTACACAGCTTGCTGAATTCAGCAATCAGCTCCAAGCCATGCATTCTGACCCAATCAAGGCTCAAACAGCAAATTGTCATATTTGAGAGCTTAAGCAAGGGCACCACTGAAAGGGAAAATTCCCTACATCCCAGTTTACAATCTGCTCAAGCCAAGTTTATTTGAACAGCATGGAGGACAGACCACAAGGTCCTGCCCACTTAAGAAGGGTACAAACAACCTTTATATAATCATATAATACCTGCTGACCAGTAATGATGTCAAATGCCAATCAACTTATTTTTGATAATAAGGGTCAGGTTTTCTGGTTATAGTGAAAATAAGCAGTTCTCACCTCAGATCCCTCACTCCTGTCCCTTTTATCTCACTTGAGTTGGAATAAATAAATGAAAACTTGCTTGCTATGGGTGGGCATCCAGAATGAGCATATTAAACAAAAATAATATTGGGAGAAAGAGATGAATGAAACCCAACGCTCAGAAAAAAATGGGCACATACAGAGGAGGGTGAAGAACAAGGAAGCTACCTAACCAGGTCTGCTGGCACTGACTAGAGATCCCAAGGAAATCATTTGTCAAGATCAGACTAATTCTAGAATGGGAGCTATAAAAGATGAGAACTGCCAATTATCAGGTCATGTACAGGTAGTCCTTGATTTACGATTACAATTGCTGTTGTTAAGTGAGACATTTGTTAAGGGGGTTTTGCCCCATTTTACAATCTTTCTTGTCACAACTGTTAAGTGAATCACTGCAGTTGTTAAGTTAGTAACCTAGATTGTTAAGTCAATCTGGCTTCCCCATTGACTTTGCTTAACAGAAGGTCTCAAAAGGGGATCACATAATACCGGGATCCTGCAATTATCATAAATATGAAACAATTGCCAAGCATCTAAATTTTGATCATGTGACGATGGGGATGCTGCAATGGTTGTAACTGAAAAATAAGTCCCTTTTTTCAGTGCTGTTGAAATTTTGAATGCTCACTAAATAAACTGTTGTAAGTCAAGAACTACCTGCCATGATCAACATTGAGCAGACACAGAAAGGAATAGGCAATGGGTGTTGGTAGCAAGAGATGAAAACACAAGCAATGATTTGATCTCTCAGAGACTTCATAATTTGAGCGCATTGGCATCAAACTTTAGCACTTTGTCTCTTCCACACCCTCTGCACTTGATTGTGTTTGTAATCCTTAAGCAAACTGTACAACAGAAGCTTTCTAAATTCATGAAGACTGCATGTGTATTGTTTTTCTTAAATAAGATCTTGACTTTTGCATTTCCACTGAAAGTGTATAAATAATTTCCTTAACCCACTAAATGCTTCATCTCGTCCACCCTCACTGACCAAAACTTCAAACTACTAAGCATCAGTTGTTCCTGTTTATCTCCCAATGAGTGAGGTAGGTTGCAAAGGAGGTGAAAACACTTGTCTCTCAACCATAATGTTGAAAGAGGGGGACAAAATGACAGAATAGGAACCAGGAATTGTTAACTAGGGTTTCTCCAGGTTGCTGAGTTAAAACAAAATCTACTCTATCAGTACAGGACAGTCGCCAGTGGACAGTAGCCTGGAAACCTACAAACCCATGCATAATAAAAACAGTGACCACTCTAAGAATCTCAAAATTACAATAGTGTAAGCAAAAGGCATGGCTGAGGATGTAACATAAGTAATCAAGAGCATTTCCCAGTCAAGCTGAGAGTTGTTTATGTACAAGTTCTCAAATATAATAAAGGTAGCTTTTATTTATTTAACATATGATAACATGACAGAAGAGAATTAACATGTACTGTACATACAATCTACACAATTATGTACAAACTTCTGTGGAGGTACAGCAGTGGCCTCATAACTGGATGCTCAATTCAGCTATCCAGGCAGCCGCCTCTGGCATTTCTTCATGCAGAATTACAAAGATCATAGAAACAGCAGAAAACATGGGCAGCTGCCAATGGCAACACAAGTAGCAACATAAAGTTGGCAGAATCCAGCTCTCTTTCTGGTTGAGTTCAATCTCCTGGGCATCATGGAACTAGCACTCTCAAAGAGTATAAAGTCCAAGTTTATACAGACTCAGGTAAACTTGACACACTTTGGAAAGTGCTGATCAAATTTTCTGCAAAAACCAGATGCCTGATCTTCCCTGTAATCAGGCAAAAATGACCCCTGGTGAGAGTGACCCATCATGAGAGGGAGAGCAGCCCTAAAGTGGCATGTACAGGCAGATCCTGATGGCTTTAGCAACCAGATGGTTAGCAAATCATAGCCACAAAAAATAACATACTTTTAAAACTGGATTGACATTAAACTGCCTCAGGGAAGTTCATGATAACATGGCAAGAAAAATGGTTACTGGATACGGAAGGAATTACTCTATGTTGCACACTCAGATTCACCTCCTTTTCCAGTCCTAGCCTATGTTGGGAAATGTGACTGGGTTTTTTCTCATCAGCAGGAAATTTTGTTAGGTGACCAGTACCTTCAGATAAGAAGACCTGAACTCATTGGTAGCCTCACATTGCAATGAACAAGGTCACACTTTCAACTTTGCAGCTACTAAGGTTGTTGGACAAGCAGGTACAAAAACAGCCAGGAAAGTGATTGAAGCCTGGGAAATAGACCCCTTGTCTACCACCAGCCTATCAAGTACTTAGAAGGCGAGGGCTGGACAGCACAAGCAAACGACAGCCAATGACTTAAAAGCCAGCCATCAGTATATCCCAATCAGCATCTAGAAAGCCACATTCAACAGGCATCATATAAATCCCACACACAGAGCAGCACACACTCTGCTAGAGAGAAGTTCCCTGAAGATGGGCTGCAGCACGAGTCTGAAAGCTTGGAAAACAAAACCTCTGGTCCTGGTGACTGACTCAGATTGGATCCTGCAAACAGATCTTCACTGTTTATCAGTCCCCAAAGTCCTGTGGAAACAATAGATAGGACTTTTATAACCCTATTTACTTATCTTTGCAGCTTTCCATCTATCTATCTATTCAGCCTTCCACTGAATCAATATGCCTAACCTATCAAGAAAATATAATCCCCTTGAGATACATCAGACTAGGAATCAAAGTTATGAATGCTAATACTACTTTTATTATAAGGTTACAGGAGCAGAATCTTGCAGAGATGGATAATGCCAAAGTTGACCATAAACATTTATTTGAAGATCCTTGCCTGGTGAGCCTGAGGATAAATACACCTTTAGACTGAGAGCGGAGGTTTGTTCTCTGAGCTGGTGGGTTTTTTTTTGTTTGTTTGTTTTTGTTTTTGTTTTGAACATTTGGCTAGGTAACATCTTCAGCAGAGTTCAGGCCAGGGGTGTCAAACTGCCACAAGACTCTGATGACTCACACCTGACCCATCACAGACCCTCACTTGACATACCCACACCTGAAACCCTTATAAACAGAAGAACACTGACAACCCTTAAACTCCGCTGAAGATGTTACCTAGCCTGGTAACGAACCATTCAGAAACCAACCCACAAGCTCAAAGAACAAACCTTCACCCTCATCCTACACCTGAGCTACAGATATTTGCCACTATTGCAAACACCTTTAGGTTTATATGTTAATTACTAATGTTTTTGCCTCTCATTGTAAACATTTTTATGTCTTTCCATCTAGTAAGTGACCATTTTTGCATGGTAAGTTTTTAGGCCATTCTTTACCAGGCCTTGATTTCCTTGCCTCCAACAGTTTAATTCATCCTGGTCTTATAAACAAAAGATTTATATGAGTTGAAGGAAAACACAGCACAATCTAATAAAATGTCTGTGGCTGTGGCTCAATTTTTTGGAGCCTCAGCAGTTGTTCATTTGAAGCCATCTATTAGTGTGGCTAGCAATGTTTATGAAATAATTAGTATATTACAGCAAATTATTGGTTTACCTCAAAAATATGTAAAATGTAGTCAATTCCCTTCTCCTCCATTAAAATAGCAATCTAAACTCTGGTTTGATAGACAATGTGTTGAAGGAAAGTAAGGCTAACACCCAAATATGCATGACCCATCTCAAGAAAATTTTGTACTCTAAAAAAGTTAGAAAAAACTTCTCAAGGAGAAGAAACAGAAGTTATCCATTAAAGAACTGGACTAAGCTCCAACAGGCTATAAAAAAGATATTCTCATGGCCTGTTTAATGCACCTTCATGTAGTGGTTGTTATGTTATGCCTCACAAAAGTTCAAAAATTTCTGAAAAATAATAAAGCCCCTGGCAAAGACATAATTTTACCAGAATATTTAAATTCTAACTCTGCTTAGTGCACATCTCTGCTAGTCCCCCTTTTTCCTCTCAGAAACAACACCTTACAGATCTTCAAAAAATGTTTTAATTCCATCATTTTTCCTATATACAAAAAGTGGCCCCTGCAAATTATCTCCTTATTACTCCCTTATACAGTATGTGATTATACACTACATTTTTGTATTCTAAACCTTGCAATGGATGCTTTCTGAGAATAATTCAGCCCTACAGCAGACAGAGTTTGAACCCAACTGTGGACTAATACACAGACTAGCCAAAAATATAGTTTCCCCAAAGGCAATGTTTACATTGTTTTCATGGACCAAAAGGCCACCTGTGATTCTATACCATGTGAGAGACTTTGGAGAAAAGTAGCCAGAATCTTGATTGATCACCATATTCTAAAATTGGCATATTGGTTTAGGCAAGAAAGTCATAATATTGGCATTCAACCATGTTTTCCCAAAAATGACCAGATCTTATATTAATTTTTGCTCCAAAAGATGCATTAGGGCTTATTTTCCAGTTAGGGCTTATATTTGGGGAAATGCAGTAGAATGCCAATATTATGACTTTCTTGCCTAAATCAATAAGCCTGTTTTAGAAGATGGTGATCAGTCAAAGTCCGTCTGGCTGACAATCTTAACTGGGGCTTAATTTTGGGTAGGGCTTATGTTACAAGCATCCTAAATCATTCTAGGGCAGTGGTGGCGAACTATGGCACAGGTGCCAGAAGCAGCACTCGGAGCCCTCTCTGTGGGCACATGTGCCGTTGCCCCAGCCTTGCCTTCCCCCGTGATCCTCTCCTCTCCAGCAGCCCCCCTGAAGGAGAGTTGCCCTTGAGGGTGGTCCACGTGGAGCAGCGCAGCCAAGGACATGGCAGCCAGGCAGCATAGACAAGACTCTGCCCTCACACCCCATCATGCAGTTGATGGGTGTGGCCGCCATAGCGCTGTTGGGCTGCTTGGGCGATCTATGGCGGGCCCTGGAGGCAGTGAGTGGTCCTGTGGGCAGGCGGGGTGGGGGTTGGGGGGGGCAGAGCAGGGGCGGAGCAGGGGGTGGAGCGTGGCGGGGCCAGTTTTGGGGCACTCAGTCTCTAAAAGGTTTGCCATCACTGTTCTGGGGCTTATTTTCTGGTTGGGTCTTATTTTGGGGGAAACACAGTAGTAAAAAAATGAGAATGGGCATTATGGGGTGCACATATTAAGAGTTAATCAGGCATAGGACCTTTGTTCCCCACACATGTTTTCACCCAGTCAGTTGCTGCTGCAACACTTGGTGCTGATGATATACAGCAGGGTGGTTTCGAAACAGTCAATGTGACTTTTTCCAGATGTTCTGCCCCTTCCAGAATGAGACAAGAGGCCAACACCCGCAGACCTCAAGCATCCAGTTGCCTGGCCAGCCTGTTCCCAAAGCTAGAATCACAACCGGTGATGAATATGTACTATATGCCTCTCCCAGTACCAGTACCAACTAAGGAGGTAAAGCCCCAACAAGGCAGCCAAATAGAGCCACATAGCTGAAATTTACCAGGAAGAAGTAAGCAGTGTGAATGGATGGGGAGAGATGCACATAGAAAGTTTGCAAAGCACAGAGATATCATTCGGAAATTGTCAACCCATGTTGACAAGGAAAAAATCAGTCAAGAAGGGCCTGTACATAACACTTTGTTTTCTGGAATGATATTAGGAGTAAAAAAAATCTTAGCTGAATATTCTGTGAATATGATGAGAATGATGTTATCCATTCAGTCATGTCTGACTCTTAGTGATTCTATGGGCAAGGTTCTTCCGATCTTGCTCTACTTCTTTGAGTTTTTCAGTGCTCTGCTGGTGTCAACTTTGATGGTGGTATATTCTGTAAAAACACCCTACAGCAATCAGGTCACACCCCCAGATTTCTTACTGTGTCTAGCCCTGGATTAGTCATTAAGCAAGGAAATGGGGGGCACCTCAGTGTCCCCCTCCTCCCAGCTATCATACCTTTGATTTATTTACTGCCATACTCAAGTTTAGTTTTCAACACTTTGCGAGTCTTTAAGGTCTTTCATTTAAGCAATGAAAGGGCCGAGGAACACCATTTTGGGCTGTACTTAGGGTATCCCATCTGCCTTCATCCTGACTTGAATGTGTCTGTTCTTTTACTGGCCTGTATGGAAGGGCAGACGGTAGAAGAAAATGCAGCTGGAACCACCAAAAGTAGGAGGGGGGAGGTTGTGTAAGGTGGCATGAAGCTGGCAAGATAAAAACCAGATGTTCTCAGGCTCAGTGGAAACATGTATGTAGACAAGGAGCACATGTCTCCCAGCCTTGAGGCCAGAAAAAAAATGGCTGAATTTCCCTTAATTTGAAAGGCCAGAAGAAAAAGCCCTAGAATCAAAAGCCTGGTAGGGCATTATATTGTGTAGAAGTCTATTAGGTGAGCTCCTGATCTATTAAATCATTATATGATTTATTTATTTATTTAACACTTTTATATGACCACCCATCTCCCTGAACATGACTAGAGGCAGCGTACAACCAACAACAATTAAAACAATATCGTGACTATTAAGACGAACATAAATAAAAAGCAAGATTGAAAGAGGTTAATTGTCGGAATCAGAGACCAGTCATAGCAGGATGCCAATATATCTCACTGCCTTTCGCAGTGTTTATTGCTTTATACATAAGTTCTCGGGGGTTTGTTCTACTTGCTGCTGCTGCAGCACTGCCTGGGCTTTGGTGGTCAGGTTCTTCACATCTCCCCACGTCACTGGCTGATTAGCACAACGGGATCGGATTGGTCGCTGTGCCATCTGTAGAGTCACCCTTGCCATTTCTGGGACTGGATCCAGGGACTGGTGCCATGACATCCTTGGCTGGGCGGACACAATGCGCTGGAATCCACAAATGTCCTGTAGGAGCAAGCACAGCAGCATAGCTTGCTCCCCAAGTGATCAGAGGGACCGGTCCCAACCATGTTTTGTCTGGTAATGCCCGATATTATACCAGAGGTGGAGGCAAGCTTGTTCTCTGTTGAAAGTGTCTCTGATAAGCGGTGGAATTTTGAATGGAAACATTCAATTGTTTTAAAGTAAATAATACTTTTTTAACCTGTTGTGTTACCCATGACAAATTGGGTACCCTAGAGCCCTCCTTTTTTATTTGTTTGTGGAGGAAGTTCCTATATCTTGACACGCTCTAATCATATCTGCCAAATCAGGATCTTTCCCCAGGCCAATAATTGCCTTCGACATTCAGAAGTGGCGTTGTCTTTTGCCAGCCTCATCAGCAACTCCTGCTGAGCTTCAGGAATATCTATCTGCCACCGTAAAGCATCCTGTAGTCTATTAATAAAATCAGGATACGGCTCAGTAGCCTTCTGCCTGATATTAGAGAAGGCTTGATGAGGCTTGCCAGAAGGCTCTATAGGCACATTCAGAAAAAATCTGTAAAGTGGCAGCTGGTAGAACAACCTGGGCATCAACTGGAGCAAAGGGGCCAGAACCATACAATTGATCAGGAATATTGACACACACACCCCGAGTTAAGAGCATGTATAGCACATTGATGTTTAAATTCGCTGTCCCAAACTACATATTGCGCTGGAGTAAACAACATGCGAAAGGTAGTTTTCCAATCTTCAGGTACTAAGATATGATTTCTCATAGTGGCTTCCAACATTCCCTGCACATAAGTACTTCCCAACCCCATATCTCTAATTCCTTTTCTAAGTTCTGTTAAAATTGCAAAGGAAAAAGGGTGATATTCCACTATTGGAGCTCCATTCTGATTTACTTGTCCCTTGGCGTGTACTGGACAAACAGAAAGCATATCAGTAATTTCTTCTATATTCCCCCCTTTTTTTCTAATTGTTCCTCTAATATTTTCCTTATGGGGGTGTACGATGGCTGGGAAAAAGCAAAAGAATTAGCCTCTCCAGAAGAAGCTGAAGATCCAATTAAAGATGCTTTAGGAAGGATAAGTTTTACTTGGTCATAATCAGGCAGGGGGCTGGCAGTTAATTGCTGCCCTGCCGAAGCATCGGAGCCAAATTTTTCTACTGCTTGACGGCACTGATACCATTGATGTAATATCTTTACTGGAGCCCGGGGTTCAAGATGTAAAGTATGCCCTATCTTTACCCAATCTCATAAACAAAGCGTCCCATGCTCAGGATACCAGGGGCAATGTTTCCCTACCTCCTCCACCAGCTTCCTTATGTCTGCCTCAGGTACTGTCACACTTGATTTATATAGCAGGAATCGAAGTTCCTGTACATGTTTCTGCTGGTGCTGAGATAGATTGCAACCCATACTTACCACTGAGGGGTCCCAGAGGACGAAGGTTCACCTAGAGGTCTGTTCCAGATGCTGGTAAATATGTTGATTGTTGCTACCCATGGGGGGGTGATCTCGCTGGGGCCTCCAGCTGTCGGAATCAGAGACCAGTCATAGCAGGATGCCAATATAACTCACTGCCTTTTGCAGCGTTTATTGCTTTATACAGTTTTCCAAACAGCAAAAGATAACATAGCAACAGCATAGCAACGGCATTTTTATTGGTAGATTCTCCTTGTCAATCCTTAAGAATATATCAGCCAGGGGCACCAACAGGGGCAGTTTTCTGCTACATCCTGTTGGTGTGAACGAGATGAGATCATGTGAACCAGGTGAAATCATGTACCAGCCTGAGGTAGTTTCCTACATCACCATGGTGATATGAACGGGGTGAGATCATGTATTTGAGCCGAGGCAGTGTGCTACACACAAACTTTACATGACCTCTATCCCTACAGCTAACACTCATATTGTCAAGCACAGAAAATCAGGATCCAGGCAGTTCAAATGAATATATAGATTTATTGCAAGCTTAAGCTCTCAACAAGAATATGAACTACTAATGGTCAAAGCAAATTAGTAGAACGTAAGAGTCAACAGAAATCAAGGTGGGCTGGACTTGGCTCTCTTGTGGGTGCCAGGGGGCTCAAGACTGATGATGCATTTGACCCCTCTCTCAGGCTCAGCCTGGTCATCACCTACAGATCTAGGCACTATCCAGTGGTGGTATTCAAATACCCAAACAACTGGTTCTCTGCGTGGGTGCAGGCCTGGGCCTCCGAGGCCTAGAATGGACTTCTGGAAGTGACATCCACACACTTCCTGTGGGCCGTTCTAGGCTTGGGAGGCCTCCTCCAGGCCTCCCAGGCCTAGAACAGACTTCCAGAAGCAATGTAGGTTCAATCAGTTATCCGAACTCAATAACATTTAGCTACCAGTTCTCCTGAACCGGTATGAACAGGCTGAATCCCACCACTGGCACTATCTCCTGCAAACCACACCCTATTTTCTACCTTGAAATGACTTACTTGTTGGCAGCATGAATCAAAAAAGTTAACAGTTTTGTAATCAGTGAGGAAAAAGGGAAAAAGAGAAAGTGTGTGAACTCAGAAAAATTGTTCTTGAACAAGCCAAGCAAACAGCTAAAAACTGACAATTACAACATAAGAAGGTAACAATTATGAGTTAGTAAAAGCCCATTATCAAACTCTGAAAAATATGATAAGAGCCCAGTCCAACACAATACCATTAAAAAAGAAAAACAAGAAATCCAAGAAGAAACTAGCATGGTTGCACAAAGCTCTCTCTGATAAACTGAAAGACAAAAAGAAAACTGGAAAGAGGGACACATAACTAAGGCAATATATCAGCAGATAGCCCGAATCTGCAAAGATGAAGTCAGGAAAGCAAAGGCTCAGAATGAACAAAGACTTGCAAGAAAAGTCAAAGATAATTTTAAAAGGTCTTTCAACATATAAATAACAAGAAAAAGTCAAGGAAACAGTCGGTCCACTAAAGAGAAAAGATGAGAATGAAGTAACAGGCAGTAGAGAGAAAGCAGAGGTGCTTAACTCATTCTTTGCATCAGTCTTCACGCAAAAAGAAACTATAGCCCAACCTACCAAAAACATAAGTATAAAAGACAGACTAGAAATAAAAATTAAAATAAGCAAGAAAATGGTAAGAGAACACCTGTCTGATCATCCAAGTTATCCATCCATTGTAGGTAACATTGTGTAGAATTGGTTGGCTCAGTGGTTACCACCTTTTCTCCCAGCGTAGATTCATCATTGGGTTGTAAGCATAATATCTCTGTCTCTTTAAAATATGTGTCTCGATGTGTGAAAGCCTGTTCAGAATTGCTCTGTTGTTCCTCTGTTGTTCCTTGTTCCATGGCTTGATTCATTATTGGAGGGTCAGATGGAAGTGCCAAGATGGCATCTTTAGATTGTCTCCTAGATTTCCAATAAGTTTTGAAGTCTTCTGTCATCCAAAACAATCTTGACAGACTTGAACAATGGACCCTATCCAACAAAATTAATTTTAATGGGGAGAAAAGCAAAGTTTTACATTTGGGCAGGAAGCTGGATTCACTTAATGACTGTGTGATTCACTTAAAAATTGCCTTGCTTAGCAATCAAAATTCTGAGCCCAATTGTGGTCATAAGTCGAGGACTAGCTGTATGAGAAGTTAAGAAAAGGGTGGATTATTTAAAATTGCCATATGAGATAGTCCCCTCCCCCCCCCAAAATATCAAAAGCAGATGGAAGAGAGCAAAGTCAGATTTCCTTTGTGCCAAATGTGAGCTGTTTGCTCCAGATCAAGAGAACCTGCTTCCACTTTCAGTCAGAAAAGTCCCTAAAGAAGGGAACCTGGTTATAAGGAAAGGGAGTGAACTTAAAAATAAGTGCTCCTACAGATCAATCAGATTGCCTTATGGATAATGTTCAGCAATGCTAACAGAAGCCCGTGAGGATCAAAAAAGCTCATTGCTCAATCCTTACATCAGTTCTTTTGCTGTGATCTCTAATTTATTGACCTTGGCAGCTGTTCAGAGTGAAATTTCTTAACATTTAATCACCCAGCCATTCCCAGCATGCTATTTAACATAAACCCATTTCTGCATATCCTTGCAATCTCTCCAAATTGGGCAATGGGTAGCAGGTCAGATAGCTTGCTAGATTCACCTCACCAGGTGCAAGAAGTGCCAAAGACAATCACCTCTGAGTCCCTGAAGAGACTCAGAGAAGAAATTGGTGAGAAATCTGACATACATGTGACCTCATGAACAGAAGGAAACAACAGCCAAGGCAAGATGGCATTATGGTTAAGTGCAAATGAGGCATGATGACTAATCATGAAATACTGGTAATCCTCGATTTACAATTGTTGAGTCCTTCGCGGAAAGATAAGACACGAGAAGCAGTTGTAGTTCTCAGTTTTCTTTATTCTGTGTTCAGCTTACAAGTAGATGGCTTCAGCAGCTCCCAAAACCTCCCAGCTTCTTATATAGGCATTTCCCGGGTCAATGCGATACTTTTCCCGCGCCAGCACCCGCGCATGCGCACGGCGCTGGCGACAGCCTGTCTGGTCCCGGGCAGCTTTGCACCTGCCCGGGACTGCCTGCAAACGCCCCGAGCCGTTTGCAAGGCTCGGGACATAACACCCCTTTCCCCCGGGCTAAAACTACTACCAACATATAATCATTTATTTCATGCAGTGTTCTGCTTCCCAGTGCTCCTATCGTTACCTGGCTTTTGTTTAGCCAGCAATGTTATGTAATCTTCTAAGTATTTAGGAGATTTCCTTGCTCTCTGTGACCTTCTCAGTTCTGGGTTTCTGACAGGTGTTCCCTGACTGAGGGGAGACGTGAGCCTGTTCTCCTTATCATGCCTTGGTGCCTTCCAAGGACTGTGCCCCAATGCCTGGCCTGCTTGCTTGCCCACCGGGCTCGTCAGGCCAGGGCTTCTGTCACTTTGTGACCTGGTTGACCCGCCTAGCTGTAGGCCCTCGGGCCCCTTGAAGTGATAGCCACTGCTGGGCGTCTCTGTAGAACCTCCTAGGTCCGTCCAAGACCTGTCAGGAGGCTGTCCACCCCCTAAGCCCCGTTCTGTGTCCGGGCTTGTGTGGGTTTCTGTGCCTTCCCAAAATTCAGTTACTTCCTGATTTGGGCTAGAGGTGTTATGGTCGGGACTTGGTTCCTCGACCATCTCCCTGTATGTTTGACCCCCTGTAGGATTTGGGGTAAGGTCAGGCCAACTCTGGGGATTGTTTGCCAGCTCTCTTGCGGGGAATGATTTGTTGGGATGTTCCCGGGTATCCTCCGTGACTGGAGTGCTGTGTGATGTGTGTGGAAAGTGAGTATGCCCCCGGGGTGACTCCCTGGCTGGAGTAGGCGTGAGTGCCTGTTGTGTGGTTAAGCTCCATGAATTCCTGTTCGGAGCACTTGCGGAAGCTTGAAATGGGCCGTCAGTGGCTCCATCAGTGGAGATGGGCAGCAGCTCGTGCCCTTCCCTTTGCTCCAAAGGGTCCCCCTCAGTACCTGAATAGTCTTTGCAGTGGTGGTGGATGAGACAGGTACAACCTCAAGCCATTTTGAATGGCTGTCAACAAGGACCAAGAAGAACTGGCCCTGAAAGGGCCCAGCGTAGTCAATGTGCACCCTAGACCATGGGGACTGTGTTTCCTCCCATCTATGCACGGGAGCTTGGGGCATCTCTGGGCGAGATCGTTGGCACAGGTGGCATGCATGCACCTTAGCCTCAATATCTTTATCTAAACCAGGCCACCACAAGTGGCTGCGCGCAAGAGCCTTCATACGAACAATGCCAGGATGACCCTCGTGGAGGGATTCTAAGACCCTAGTCCTCATTGAGGTGGGAATGACAACTCTGTTTCCCCAAAGCAGACAACCCTGAGAAATGGACAGCTCGTTCCTTTTGGACCAGAAACTCTGAAACTCAGGACTAGGGCAGTGCTCAGGCCAACCAGACAAAACCCAGGAACGGACACGTGAAAGTGTGTGATCTGTACCTGTTTCAGCGGCAACATCCCTGGCACTAAGAGGGAGCTCAGGCAAGGCTTGGATTGATAGAATGTTGACAGCTGGCGCAGGGTCAGCTTCTACTACTGGCAGGGGCAATCTACTGAGGCCATCAGCATGGCCCATTTCTTTCCCAGGCTTGTGGAGTAAAGAAAAATCATATGCAGACAAAAAAATAGACCACCTAAGCATTCTAGGGGAAATGATTTGGGGAGTCTGCTTACGTGTGGTAAACAGTCCCAGCAGAGGCTTATGGTCAGTGAAGACCGTGAAATGCCTGCCATATAGAAAATCATGGAATTTTTTAATTCCAGCAACAACAGCCAGAGCCTCCCTGTCTATCTGAGCGTAGTTGCGCTCAGCAGAAGACAATGTTCTGGAGTAATATGCAACAGGAACCTGAGTTCCATCAGACCTGAGGTGGCTCAGGACAGCTCCTACCCCGTAAGGGGACGCATCACAAGCGATGCACACAGGAAGGGGCTCGTTGAAATGTGCAAGTACACTGTTAGAAGTGAGCAAGGCCTTGACTTTGTTAAAACAAGCCTCATGTGTTTGTGACCAGTGCCACACTGCTTGCTTGTCTAGTAGCCTGTGAAGAGGCTCAGCTACACTGGCTTTATGTGGAAGGAAGGAATTGTAGAAATTCAGGAGGCCCAGGAAGGCCTGAAGTTCGGCCTTAGACTTTGGCCTAGGTGCTTCTAAAATAGCAGTTAGTTTGGATTCAGCAGGGTGAATCCCAGCAGCATCAATTTTGAACCCCAGAAATTCAGTAGAAGGCACCCCAATCTTGCATTTGTCTTTTTTGAGCTTGAGGCCTGTTTTCCTGAATCTTAACAGAACAGCCCTTAGCCTTTCAGCTAGAATGTGTGTGGAGTCTCCTGCAATCAAGACATCATCAAAGTAGGGGCAAACCCCTGGTATACCCCGTAGTGTGTTTTCCATTACGCTTTGGAAAATCCCAGGAGCGACATTCACTCCAAACTGTAGCCTTTTTACCTTAAAGGCCCCTCTGTGGGTCACAATAGTCTGAGCTATAGCAGCATCATCATCAATAGGCAGCTGTTGATATGCTTGAGCTAGGTCAAGCTTTGCAAAAACACGCCCCCCCTTGAGGGAGGCCAGGATATGACTGACCACAGGAACAGGATAGGCATGTTGCTGCAATGCCTTATTAAGAGTGCATTTGTAATCAGCACAAATGCGAATGTCCCCATTTGCCTTTAGAGGCGTGACAATGGGGGTCTCCCAAGGACTGGAATCAACAGGTTCTAGAATTCCCTGTTGGATCAGTTTGTCTAACTCAGTGTCAATTTTACTCTTTAAAGCAAAAGGGACCCTTCTTGCTTTAATTCTAATGGGAGTGACAGTGGGGTCTAGCTTTAAGGACACAGGGGGTCCTTTGAATGTGCCCAGCTGGGGGCTGAAAACATCTGCAAATTCTTTGCAGACTTCCTGTAGGTCGAGTGTTTGTAAGCTGTTGAGTCCTGTGACGTGTATCCCCAGGGCCTCAAACCAATCGAGTCCTATGAGACTCGTTCGTTCACCCCCTACTACTAATAAGTCTAGTGGACCTTCAAAACTCTTGTATTGCACGTTAAGGGTGGCCTCCCCCTTAACACACACTCTTGAATTTTGAAAATCTGTTAACACAATGTCAGAAGGCCTTAACTTGGCCTGAGTTCCACTACCGGAACAAATCTTCCTAAATGTATGCAAGGAGATGATTGAAAGGGCAGACCCTGTGTCTA